ATCCCACCTCCGTGCGGGCACTGCCTCCGTGGACTGTGGCCTGAGGAGAAGGCCAAGGGAGGCGCGTGGCCGTGCCCAGAGGACCCTCTGCAAGGCCCCGCCTGAGAGCGGGGGTCCCGCAGGCCTCTCTGACACGGCCCAGACCCCGCGGCTGGTGGGGCGGGGAGCGGTGCGTGCCCAGTACAGCGAGTCTGGACGGGCCCCTGTGGGTGAGGCACCTGCCTGTCCTCCCCAGGCCCGGCAGAACCTGCAACCGAGTGTGAGCTTAAGGTCCGAGGATGGTGGGGAGCGCGGTGGCCTGGGCGCACCCCGCAAGGAAAAGCAGTGGGTGCAGGGGGGAGTCCCGGGTGGAGAGAAGCGGGTTCCCGGCCACGCTGGGAGCCAGGACCAACTTGGCTGCTAGGAGGCCAGCGGAGGGAGGTGTCGGGGCCCCAGGGTGACTGCCTTGTCCACTCAGGGACATCCCTTCGAGACACGGAGGGGAGTGGCGAAGGGGTGGAGCTCAGGAGAGGCCCCCGGCCGAGCACCTCCGCGGTGATTGACGGCGGCTGCAAGGGAGGAGCTTAGGGCTGAGGCTATCTAGGCAGGTTCCCCAAGCGGGGGCGCTGTGGGTGGAATGGTCTCCCTACCCCCAGGCCCCCGTCCTAGCTTCGTGGCCTGCATCTCCTCATCTGAACAGCGAAGTTGCAGCATGAAGTCCCCTTCCACCTACACCGAACAAGTCGACCATAAACTTAGTTAAGAACCACCGATAAGTGCCCAGGCAGGGCTTTCAGCTTTCCGCAGGGCCGCCCGCCTGCCAGCTGCGGGGAGAAGCAACAAAGGGCGGGGGCTGTTCTCCTCCCTGGACGGGGCCGTGGGGGTGAGCGGCAGTCCGGGCTGACCTCCACCGGAAGCAAAGCCACGGGCCGCGTCTCAGGGAAGCCGCCGGAATAACAGGTCTCCCTGCTCCCAAAGCAGAGTGACGTCTAATAAACCCTCGGGAGACAGCACAGAGCCCCCGCTCCTCCGTTGGCTTCCACACTGCTTTCCCCTCTCCAGACTAACAAAAAAGGGAGATTGCACGCAATGCCCAGCCCTTACACCAGCTCAGGGGCAGGCCTACAGACCAGAGACACCTTGCAAAAAAGACTTAGGAATTCATCCATTTAGTAGCAGAGGAAGTAGACATTCAGGAGAGAGCCAGGAGGGTGTGTGAAGGTGTGGCCAAGTCCACGGCCTCAAGGACAGCAGGGGGCGGGGGTGAGGCGCGGCAGAAGAGACTTGAAGAAGCAGAAGACAACTCCACAGGAGCCCTGGAATCTTGAGATCGGTAATCAGAAGTCAGAGAGTAGATGGCGGGACAGCAGAACGAGAGCAAGATTTAGGAGCTGAGAAAACACAGTTCCTCAAAATCACGCCGTCGCTAGAACAAGAAACAGCGAGGGGCAGGATGTCGGGCGACTAACAGGGACGGCTGTGCGGTCCAGTGGGGAGCGGGGGAGAGGTGATAAACATGACATTACGGGCCTTGAAGACAAAGTGATGAGGGTCAGGGGACAGGGTGATCATAGTGGGGGCACTGTTTGGAGAGGCTGGGACATTGGTGAAGGAGGGACCCATGGGAGTCCAACGGTGGGTGAAGTGGCCCAGAGGCCACTCGACGGGGCTGCGTCCTTGTGCAGGGCCTGGAGAGTCCCGAGTGACCTGAGCTGACCTCTGGTGAGGGATGGGAGAAGCAGCAGCAGACGTGGAGGCAAGAGGCCTCAGAGGAAGGCACACGGTGCCAGAGGCCGCCCACGGTTAGAAAAAACACTCAGAGACTCACTACAGGAAAGTTCCCCTGGAGTCACCTGGGAGCCTCCAGGACCACGGTGGGGTGCAAGTCACACGGAGACCCACCTCGCCTGCTTACCAAACTTCAGGGATTCTTAGAAGTGTTTTTCAGAGAAAGCATGTCACATACAAAAACAAAACCCCAAGCTGGCCCTGCTCTCTCCATCAACATTCAAAGCCTGAAGAGCAAATTGCAAGGGTAAGAAAGCTAAACTGAAGAATCCTGCCCCAGCCAAGTTCTCATGCGTGTTTAAAGGCCTCAGGGAAACATTTTTAAACCTAGAAGAACCTGAGAAATAAAGTTCTTTAAAAATGTGAAAGCTGACCTTTAAGACAGCCAATAAAGATGCAATTGAAACAAAGACTGAGTGGGCAGGTGCTGGCGGTGAGCTTGGCCCCCCAGTGGGATGCGGATATGACACGTGGAACGCAGGGGACGGGAGTGACTTTGCAAGGTGGGCCGGGGCCAGAGGGGAGGTGCCGGCACCCTTCACCGTTCAAAGCCCGGCATCGGATGGACGTACACCACCCAAACCCCAGTGACACCCATCTCTCAATGTTTGTTGTAACTTCTAAAAATAATCTTAGCAAAATCTTGTAAACTTGGGGTGAAGAAGCGTTCATCTAATTTCAGTGATCATGTTTTCCCTTAAAATTAAATTTTTAAAAATTTGAAAGAATTCTACACTTATTCTGTATTTTTTTAAGATTTTTTTTTGATGTGGACCATTTTTAAAGTCTTTATTGAATTTGTTACAATATTGCTTCTGTTTTATGTTTTGGTTTTTTGGCCACAAGGCATGTGGGATCTCAGCTCCCCGACCAGGGATCGAACACGCACCCCCTGCATTGGAAGGCGAAGTCTTAACCACTGGACCGCCAGGGAAGTCCCTATTCTGTATTTCCATATATCCTCTCGCCTCTGCCTAGGCCTTTAGAAATATCTGAACAACCTCCACCTAATGTCGACAGCGGTCCTCTCGATGATGAAATTGTGGGCGAGATTTTTAAACTTTATTGTTGGATTGCTGAATAGTGAGCAAGTGTTCTTGTAAAGCCAATGAACTCATTTTTTTCAACCGGCAACACTGGGCAGTGACTGTCTGTGGCCCTCAGTAGGGCACGAACTACACACACCTCCCAGGCGCCCTGCCAGCCCTTGGGGGTGGGGGGGGTGGGGCGTGCCCTGTGGGCTGGGCTGGGGGGCTCCCCTTTCTGCCTGGGGTGTCCAGAGTGGCCTCTGCTCCTGCTCTGAGCCCACCTGATCCACGAGAACAGGCGGGTGCTAGGGTACAAGGGAGACCACACAGGAGGGTGGCCGTCCTCTCTGCCACAGGAGAACCTAAGCAGACCCCCGGCCCGGGGGTGTCACTGTGAGTCTGGGGAGGTGCATTGCTCCTCCTAGACTTCAGGAAGGGACCTCCCGGTTGGGAAGCAGAGTAAAGGGACACTGCAGTGTCCACTGTCAGCAGTGACTGGGGGCAGTGTCCTAACCGGAGTGGTGCTGTCTGACCTGTCTGCTGGGTGACACCCTCCTCTCATCCGGGTTTCCAGGCCCCCTTAGACCCTCCTCTCTTCCAGGGGCTCCCAGCTGGGTCACTGGTGACGTTGGGACCCGGTCATTCTCAGCTGGGGGCGGGGGGCGGGGCGGCGTCCTCTACTCTTGGGATGTTGCGCAGGCCCCAGCCTCCAGCCACTCGATGCCAGAGTGCCCCTCCCTCCGACATGTCACATCTTCACCCCAAACCTGTGGCTGTGCTGGGTTACGCGGCAAGGGGGGAGTTGAGGTTGCTAACCAGGTGGCCTTAAAATGCTATCCTGGGGTGTCCAGGCGGCCCATCATCACAGGGTCCTTAAAAGTGGAGGACGAGGTGCTGTGCTGCTGGCTTTGGAGATGGAGGACGGGGCCCCGAGCCAAGGCGTGCAGGCGTCCCGAGGAGCTGGAGAAGGCTGGAGCCCCCGCAGGAAGGCTGCCCTGCCCACGCCCTCGTCTCAGCCCAGCGAGACCCGTTTCAGACTCCTACAGAACTTAACGTCCATGGATTTGTGTGAAGACACTAAGTCTGCGGAAACTTGTTAGGGCAGCGATAGGAAGCCAACGCACCCAGGGTGACAACGAAACCGTCTCCGGCACTGCCACCCGTCCTGGGGCTCCACGCCTTACTGGAGCAGGCCACGGGCTCCACCAGGGGAGCCCCGCGACTTCTGCTGCTGTGGTGGTCCCAGAGGGGGAGACCTGGTGCAGAGGAGAGGCCCTGAGACCACTCGCAGGACAGAGGGCTGGCCAGCCCAGCATCCTGGACCCATCCCATCCGACTGCAGCCTCATGAGACACCCTAAGTGAGACCAAGAGACCTGGCAGGGTGAGCCCAGTGAGGCCCTGGCCATGAAGTCCTTTAAGGCCGCTTGGGGCAGAGAACTCCACAGCACTTGTCACCTCTATCGTAACTGTTGGCACTTTAGCGTGGGAGGGGGTCCTCCTGGCCAGCATGGAGCCTGGCCCAGAGCAGGTTCTGGCCTTTGACACCTATCCGCACTTCACCAGGGTCCCTGAGGAGGAGGGGGAGGGAGTCGTGGTGTCCCCCAGGGCCCAGCCTACCCTCACGTCCACCCTTCTCCCCCACGTCTTAGGACACCTCCCCCAGCCCCAGCCTCCACCCCACATCCCTGCGGCCCACCACTAACCCTAGGGGTCTAGGGATCCTGAGAAAGGCACAGGCCTGGAACAAGATTACACTCAGCGGACCCCAGAGAGAACGGGGTGGGGGCCTAGCTGCATGATCTTGGAAGGCTTCCTGGAGGAGGGGCCTGAGCTGAGGCCAGGATGGGCAGGTGGGGTCGCAGCACCTCAGCAGCTGGCTCTGGGAGGGAGGCAGAAACCCGGGCGTTGCCCTCACCCTGGGCCTGGGGGTGGGGGTTGATTACCTCATCCTGCCCAAAGCCCCCCTCCCTCACGGCCACCCACACACGCTGCCCCCAGTCAGCCCCTGAGTGTCAGTCACCAAGTCCAGGGGATGGCACCGCACCTGCTGCCCTCCTTCCACCCCGCCCCCCACGGGCTGGGAGCCTATCATCACCTCCCTTCTTCCCCTCCTCCCACTTCCTCTTCCCCTCCAGCTTGGTCTCCCCAAAATGCAGCCCCATGTTACCCGCAGCCCAGAACCCACCCACCCACCCCTCAACCTCGGGGCACAGGCAGACACCGTGGCAGGCCAGGGCCAGCTCCTCGCAGCTGCCCCACCCTGCCTTCTCAGGCCCTGTTCCGCTACAAGCTCCCTGTGCAGAGACGGGTGGCATCACCTCCTCCAGGAAGCCTCCCTCTGTGTTGGGAACCTCCTTGGCTCCCGCAGGCTCTGGGCTTCTCCCCATCACGGCATCACCCCCGAGTTACACGTGCCCCTGGGGGCCTCCTGGAGAGGCAGTGCTCCTGGCCTGGGCAGGCACCAGTACCAAGCAGTTCATGACCAGAACCTCCCCGCTCCCGGAAGATCACTGGTCCCACCTCACTGCCCCCTGCAGGCAGGCACCCAGCTCCCCAAGGGGCTAGGCTCCCCAGCCCAGACCCCTTCCACCCAGGCCAGCTAAGGGGCTGTCCATGAACCAGGCCCCGAAGGGGGGACTGTCAAGGCCTCACACCCCTCCCAGGGCGCCCACAGTGGCCTGTCCCCCGGATGACGGCCCCTGGGGGGCGTGGGCAGCCTTTCCTGGCAGCCCTGAGGGCCATCTTGGAGGGCCACTCTGCTCTGTCCCTCAGGCCCCGCCAGGTGGCCTCTTGGAGATTGGGCTGGGGCAAGTCACCCCAACTGGAGGTGGTCTCCAAGGCCTCAGGGGTGAGTGTTCTGAGGAGAGGGCAGCCAGACGTCCTCCCAGGCCTGTTTTCTCATCCCTGGGCTGGTCATGACTGTCTGGTGGGCACTGGGGAGGGCGCAGGGGCCGTGCGCCCCAGACCTGGCAGGCCGCCTCCCCAGAACCCACAGGAAAGGCACCGAAGACGGACACGCAGGGCTGAGTCGTCTATTAGGAGGGCGGCGACCTCGAGGCCTGGGCCTCCAGAGTCACGTTGTGCCAGAAAGGCGCGCTCCGGACCAGGAAGGCTTGGAAGGCGCTGCTGGACTCGGCGGACCTCGGTGGATGGGGGAAGAGCACGTCCTTGTCCTCGTCCTGGGACACCAGCTGGGCCACGATCTGCGCGAGGTCCTGCGTGGACGGCGGGGTCAGGGGGCGGGGCGAGCAGGGCGGGGCGGAGCAGGACCGAACCCTCGGCGCACCCCGCTCCGCGCACCCTGTAGGAGAGGGTCGCCCCGGCGAGGCCCGGCCTCTCGCCGCCACCCAGCACGGCCAGCCTCCAGCGCTCGTCTGTGCTGACGTTCCAGCGGCGGCTCGGGGGCCTGCTCCCCTGCGGCTCGCACACCTGCGGGGACAGGGCAGGGGTCCGCGCCGGCCGCGCCTGGGGGTCCCGCACCCGCCTCGCGGAGGGGGACGCTTCCAAAGTGCTGTGTGCTCAGCCTCCCCAGTGCCGGCGGGCAGGCAGGTCCTCAGCCTCTGGTCCTGGGGCCTTCCGTGGCCGTGCCCGGCGGCTCGGCCCCTGGGCACCCCGGCCGGCACCTGCCCTGCCTTCCCATGCACGGGTCGGCCCCCTGGATGCTGGGGGCCATTACCGCGGAGGTCGTGGCCCTCCGGCTGCTGCCCGGTCCTGGCCGGGCAGAACTGGCCCACACTCTGGGGAGGCCCCAGAACAGGCCGCCAGACTGCGGCCGCCTCAAGAAAGGCGGACCCAAAGGTCAACCTCCTCCCCAGGCCCCTCTAAAATGACCATAAAGAGGCGTAGGGTGGAAAATATCGCTCAGGTGTCCATAGGGACACAGGAACAGGCAGTGAGGCACGGGTGTTAGAGGGCTGTCGGCAGAGGCTGGAAAGCGGTTACTAACTGGGAAAGACCAGAAGTGCGCTGCACCCCTGCAGGAACCCTCCCCCCAGGGAGAACTTCCCAGGCGGGCTCTCCGTGAAAGACCCTCAGAGCCTCTCCTGCTCTGCCCAGCCAGGGAGCCATCCCATTGCCTCCCTGGGGGAAGCCAGGAGGTCACCCTCTGGAGTGCCATGGGGGGCAGGGAAGGGTGCCATGCTAAAAATAAAGAGAGGATTAAGACAAACTCAGTCTCCATTCCTCAAAAAATTAAAAATAGAACTACCATATGATCCAACGATCCCACTTCTGGGTATACATCCAAAGGAACTGAGAGCAAGTCTCAGAGAGCTATTTCTGTACTCATGCTCACGGCAGCATTATGCACCGTAGCCGAAAAGTGGCTGCGACCCAACCGTCCATCAACGGGTGAATGGATAAGCCTAATGCGGTCCGTCCACACAATGGAATATTATCCAGCCTTAAAAAGGAAGGACATTCTGGCACAGGCTGCAGTATGTGTAGTGAAACGAGCCAGTCACAGAAAACACAAATATTGTTTAGTCCAGGGATCCCCGGCTCCCCCCACCCCCGCCACAGGCTGCACAGCAGGAGGCGAGCGAGCGGAGCTTCATCCGCCCCTCCCCATCGCTCTCATTACTGCCTGAACCATGCCCCCCACGGCCCCCCCGTCGGTGGAGAAATTGTCTTCCATGAAACCGGTACCTGCACCAAAAAGGTTGGGGACCGCTGTTTTAGCCCACTCATACGAGTTACCTAGGGCCATCAGATCCGTAGAGTCAGAACATGGAATGATGGCTGCCAGGGCTGGGCGAGGGCGAGGTGCTGCTTCGGGTTTGCAAGATGGAAAAGTTCTGGAGATGGGTTCACAACGATGCAAATATACTTAACACTACTGAACCGTACACTTCAAAATGGTTAGGATGCCCCCCCCCCAAAAAAGTGGGTACTTGGACCCAGAAACATGAACAGAAGGAAGATGGTGTGAGAAGACGGCTGTCTACAAGTCAAGGAGAGAGGCCTGGAAGAGACCCTTCCCTCGCAGCCCGCAGAGGGAACCAGCCCTGCTGACACTTTGATTTTGAGCTTCTTGCCTCCAGACTGCAAGACAATACATTTCTGTTGTTTAAGACAAAGAAAGTGAAGCCCCCAGCCCCTCTTCCCACTCTGCATGAAGAACGGTGGCAGCCTGGCTAAGCTCCCCTTCTGCGCAGGAGAGGGGAGGGGTCCTTTCTGGGGAGAAAGGCCAGCCCCAGAGAAGAGGCCTACAGACACCGAGAGAGGGGGGTGCCCAATGCGGAGCAGCCCAAATCTGCCTGATCACCCCACAAAGAGCGTGACCGCTGGTGAGGCGGCCCCTGGCACACGGAGCCTTCAGCCAGCCCTGCGTGCCCCACTCTTCAGTGTAGACCAAGAGCGGCCCCGCCCCCAACCTGAGAACGTCTCCAGTGTGAAACACAGAGGCCAAACCACCAACCTGGGCAGAAGGAACTCAGAGGACAGGGGGCTGTTACAGGGAGCAGAAGGAAGCAGGCCACCTCCCCCTGTAACTGTTGTTCTCCTGGATCCAATGTACCTATGAAACAAGAAGAGGATGACGTGAAGAAGGGCTGTTCAGAGAACGGGGATGAGCTCTTTCGAGTTAAAAATGTGACGTCAGAATTTAAACTTCTATAGCAGGTGCTGGGGTAGGCTGTTGACCCTAGTTCGTCACTCCCTTCCTGTAATCGAATCCTGCGCCTCCCCTTTAACATGTGACGTCACGCCGGTTCCCACTAGAGTATATTTTCCTGCCTCACTGATGCTGGGCAGGTCCACAGGATGCTGACAGAGCACATGCATTCCCAGTGTAGTCTGAGTGGGCCTCCTGAGATTCTGTGTCCACCCGAGCACAGGCTTCCCTGGGAAGACCTCTGAGGGTAAGCGGCATGGAAGACACACAACCTGCGAACAGAAAAACAAAAGTTTGCTGTTGTGAATCATGGAAATTTTGGAGTTGTTTGTCACAGGGCATCATTACAGCAAATGCTAATAATAGAAGGACGGGCAGCAAAGCCCAAAAAGGCAAGGTAACAAAGTATGAGAAAATGGGAGTCAATCACACGGGCCCACATCCAACTAACAGAGTTTCCAGAAAGAGAGTCAATCACACAGGCCCAACATCCAACTAACAGAGTTTCCAGAAAGAGAGTCAATCACACGGGCCCACATCCAACTAACAGAGTTTCCAGAAGGAGAGTCAATCGCACGGGCCCACATCCAACTAACAGAGTTTCCAGAAAGAGAGTCAATCGCACGGGCCCACATCCAACTAACAGAGTTTCCAGAAAGAGAGTCAATCACACGGGCCACATCCAACTAACAGAGTTTCCAGAAAGAGAGTCAATCACACGGGCCACATCCAACTAACAGAGTTTCCAGAAAGAGAGTCAATCGCACGGGCCCAACATCCAACTAACAGAGTTTCCAGAAAGAGACAGAGCAGAGAAGATGAACACACACACGCACACACACGCCACGAAGGGAACAAGGCTCCAGGTTGAAGGGGCTCACACAGGACCGAGAAAGGGAACAGACTGGCACCAGAGGACAGTGTGGTGATATTTCAGAACCAGGGCAGGAGGAGAAACAGCCTGACTTCCAGAGACTAAAAAGCAGGGCACGTGCAAAGGAGGAGAAGTCCGCAGGGTCCAGGGCACCAAGCAGCCCCACTGCAAGGTGGAAGCAATGCAACAACGGCCTAAAATCCTGAAAGAAAATTATTTGCCACCGAGAATTTTCACCCAACCAAAGTATCGCTCAAGTGTGCAGGCAGAATAAAGATATGTTCAGAACTTTAAAGTCTCAGGAAATTGAGTATCTTCAGGGCCTTCTGAGGAGCTGCGAGATGAGGGGCTTCAGCAGACAAGGGGGGAGCCGGCAGGAGGGACGCCCAGGGCCCAGGAACTGGGGTCCCAACCAGGAGCGGCAGGGAGGGTCCCTGGATGAGGCAGGTACAGGGTGGCACAGAGGCAGGGGCGGTGGAACCCCCAGACCTGAGGGGTCGGGTCGTTTGTGAGCCGAGTGTCACAGTTCCTCTGGAAAGTTTGGGAAAGAATCGATAATCAGTGCACAGAAAATGAAGAAGAAGGGGCAGGAGGGCGTGATTATTACCTCCAGGGAGAAAGAGAAGCGGTGGGAGAAGGGTAACCTCGTCACTTTGAGGGAAACTTCCCCACATTCAGCTGTCGGCAGGCTTCCAGGGGGTCACTGGGGAGCAGACATTCGCAGCAGATTGAGGTAAAAGGATGAGCCTACTCAGGGTCCGGGGAGGGGGAGGTGTCTTCGGGGCAGGTGCGGCCCGCAGTCCCTGTGGGGGGAGCCGGCAGATGCGGGCAGCTGGGCCATGACCCGCAGGGCCAGGCAGGGCTGCTGTTCTCAATTATGTGCCCGCAAGTGGTAATAAAACTGGCACAAAATTTTACAAACAGATTGAAGCAATTAAGTAGAGTGACCTAACAGAGAGCACGCACAGGGGACCCACATTCTCACCAGCAAGAGGAACCATCGTGCACATTGGCTGGGCTCCAGGCCACGGGCAGAACAGACTCCCCCGTGGGCCCAACTGGAAACCAGAACAAGGTGCTCCTGTGGGCGCAGATGGGGGAGTGGAAGGGAAACCCAGTCCCCGGGAGGGGCCAGGGAGGACTCCCACCAGCCAAGAGGGTGGCCAAAGCTGCCCTCTGAAGACACGCGATAGCTTTAAACGCTGGAAAATTAGAAAACAGCCCTGGAACGAGGCACAAAGCAAACAATTCAAGAAGCTAGGAAAACAACAACAAAAGCAGTTCACGGAAAGTTTAAAGACAGAATCAGGAAAGGCTGGTGAATAAATTAAAGTGGAAAAACAGTGGGCAATGATCACAAACTGGTTCTTTGCAAAACCAGTAAAACAGAGCTACTGCTTCCCTTGTGTCCTCCCCAACTCCACACAGATCTGTCTTTATCATGTTTTTTCCTTTTTTAATTTTAGTTTTATTAGAGCATACTTGATTTACAATGTTGTGTTAGTTTCAGGTGCACAGCAAAGTGAGTCAGTTACACATATATTCATTCTTTTTCATCTAGGTTATCACAGGAGATTGAGTAGAGTTCCCTGTGCTCTACGGCAGGTCCTTGATTGTTATCTACCTTGTATATAGTCGTGTGTGTATGTTCACCCCAAGCTCCTGACTTATCCCTCCCGCCAACACGTTTCCCCTTTGCTAACCATATAAATGAACTTATTTACAAAACAGAAACAGAGTTACAGATATTGAAAACAGAAACAATCTTCCTGGAGCACCAATCACTTCCTTGTTCAAAACCATTCACTGGCCTCTCCCTGGAGTTCTTTGCCCACTTGCCATGTCATCCCCCTCTTGGGCCCTCATCAGGCTAACTTCTACTCATCCTTTAAGACTCTGGAAGCACTTCTTTGCTCTCCACTCTGCTGCCAGGCTCTACCA